GTTCCGGTATATACCCTGTTGTACCGTGGTAATGAGGGCCTACGCTGTTGAGATGGGCCCACACAAGTCTATGCAGGGGGAAAGGCACTCAAAGTCCATGGATCCTTTATGCCTGTGCCTGTGCCTAGGCAAAGGAGCTGTGCCTACCCTGGGTTCCTGGCTTAGGGGATCCAGCAGTTTATTTTTTCCCATTTGTCACTCTCCAAGGCAGTGAAAATGCTCCGGGCGTGTGACAGATCCTACTTCCGGCCCAGGGGACTCGGCAATTGCTGAAGCCAGTCCAGCACCCAGTGCAGAGCAGGGAGCGGGGAGGTAAATGGGAGAGAGGTTTTTCCCTTAGGGGGGTGTTTTTGATCTGCATGGTAGGCCGTACGCAATTACTTATCTTATGGCGATCAAGGGCTGCTTCTCACTGGTTCTGCATAGCCAAGCAGGCTCTCAGCGGCTGAGTCTCTCCCGGTGCGGAATACGCTTCCCAAGCACCACCGCTTGCCTGCCTCCCTGCTCACCCCCTAGCTGATCAGGCCTGAAGGGCTGAGGCTCTCGCTGGGTCAGGTCTGGCAACTCCTCACTGCTTCTGAGCTGTCTTTCCCTCCTCCTGCCACTCAGTCCGGTTCCTCAACTCTGCCTTTGATGTTCAAGGCTCCCAGATTGCCATATATAATCGAATCACTTGTTTTTTTGGGTCTTTGTTGAAAGAGGGTCCACTGGAAGCATCTGACTACTCCGCCATCTTGGCCCTGCCTCAAAAGTTTTAAATTTTGATTAAGTCCAATTTATCAACTTTTTTTCTTCATGGATTGTGCTTTTGGTGTCATATCTAAGAACTCTTTGCTTAATTCAAGGCCATGAAAGTTTTCTCTTAAGTTTTTTCTAAAAGTTTTACGGTTTTTCATTTTGCATTTAGATCTATGATGCATTTTGAGTTACTTTTTTATAAGGTGGGAAGTTTAGATGGAGGTTCTTTTTCAGGGGCGGGGGGAGGGCTTCCAAAAACCAAACCTGTTGCCGTCGTGTCAATTCCGATTCATAGTGACCCTATAGGACAGAGTAGAACTGCCCCGTAAAGTTTCCAAGGGGTAGCTGGTGGGTTCAAACTGTCGACCTTTTGGTTAGCAGCTGCTGTAGATTGAATTGTGTCCCCCAAAAACGTATATCAACTTGGCTAGGCCATGATTCCCAGTATTGTATGACTGTCCATCATTTTATCATTTGATGTGATTTTCCTATGTGTTGTAAAACCTATCTCTATGTTGTTAATGACATGGGATTAGTGGCAGTTATGTTAGAGGCAGTACTCAATCTACAAGAATAGGTTGTGTTTTCAGTCAATCTCTTTTGAGATATAAAAGACAGAAGTAAGTAGAGAGACAAGGGGACCTCATACCAGCAATAAACAAGAGCCAGGAGAATAGCATGTCCTGTGGACCTGGGGTACCTGCACTGAGAAGCTCCTAGTCCAGGGGAAGATTGATGACAAGGACCTTTATCCAGAGTTAACAGAGAAAGAAAGTCTTCCCCTGGACCTGATGCCCTGAATTTGGACTTCTAGCCAACTAGACTGTTAGAGAATAAACTCCTGTTTGTTGAAGCCATCCACTTGTAATATTTCTGTTATAGCAGCACTAGGTAACTAAGACAGCAGCTGAGCTCTTAACCACTGAGCAACCAGGCCTCCTTTTTTGGCTTATGGATGTCCAACTGTTCCAACATCATTTGTTGAAAGACTATCCTTCTCCATCGAATTGCCTTTGTACCTTTTTCAGAAATCAACTGGCCATATTTCTGTGGGTTTATTTCAGGACTCATTCAGTTCCATTGATCTATGTGACTATCTCTTCACTAATACCATACTGGCTTGTAGCTTTATAGTAAGTCTTAAAGTCAGGTAGTGTGAGCCCTCCAACTGTATTCTTTGTCAAAATTGTTTTGGCTATTCTAGCTCCTTTGCCTTTCCATGTAAATTTTAGAAGCAATTTGTTTAAATCTATAAAATATCCTACAGGGATTTTTACTGAAATTTTGTTAAATCTATAGATTAATTTGCAAAGAACTGACATCTTTATTATATTGAGTCATCCAACCCATAAACGTGTATGTCTCTTCATTTATTTAGGTATTCTTTGAAATATGGATTTTCAAATTCAGATGCAGCCATATTGAAATGTGACTGCAAACACATTCTGAAACCAAGTGTAAATACTTTTTTTTTTTTTAAGAAAGCCTATAAAACATGTGGTGTCAAGGCCTGGAATTTAATTACATCACTGGTCAGGAAAATAGCCATGGCTGACTTTCCAAGCCACATTCTTCTTTTTTAAAAAATATCTTTATTGAGGTATACTTTACATTAATAAAATTCATACATTTTAAGTGTATAGGTCGATGACCTGTGACAAGTGTCTACAGCTATAACCACTACATATAACCTGAAACACTACCCCAATTAAGACAGAGTACATTTCTATGATCCTGAAAAATTCCCTGGCGCTCCTTTGCAGCCAATCTCCTTCAACCCCCTAATGGCCCCAGGCAACTAGAGATATGATTTTAATCAATATAGATTATTTCTCCAGTTCTTAAATTTTATAAAAATGAAATCATATAGTATGTACTGTTTTGCTCAATATAACGTCTGTGAAATTCACTATGGTGTTGTGCCTACTGGTAGCTCATTCTTTTTACTGCTGAGCAGTCTGCTATGGAAGGAGCCCTGCTGACGCAGTGATTAAACGCTAGGCTACTAACCGAACGGTTGGCAGTTTGAACCCACCAGGCGCTTTGCGGCAGAAAGATGTGGCAGTCATCTTCCTTAAAAATTACAGCCTTGGAAACTCAATGGGGCAGTTCTACTCTGTCTTACAGGGTTGCTATGAGTCAGAATTGACCCGACAGCAAGGGTTTGGTTTCTTGGCTTAGTCTGCTATTACATGAATATATCTCATTTTGATTATCCATTCACCTGTTGGTGAACATTGGGTTGTTTCTGGTTTTTGGTTATTATGACTAAAACGTTTACGGATAAGTCATTTTATGAATGTATGTTTTCATTTCTCTTGGATAAATACTTAGGAGTGGAATTACTGGGTCATATAGCAAGTGCAGGCTTTATAAGAAATAGCTAAACTAATTTCCGAAGTGTTTGCACCACTTTATATTCTTACCAAAAGGTATGAGAACTCCAGTTACCCTACTTCTTCACCAGCACTTGGAATCGCTAGTTTTACGTTCTTGTAGGTGTGAAATGATATCTCATTGTGCTGTTAATTTGCATTTCCCTGAAGACTAATGTTTTTCACCAGGCTGGTAGAACTTGACTGCACAGTTAACACCCAGTTATCTAGAAAAGGTTTGAGCCAGAAAGTGGTCAAGAACCAAGAGACAGAGGGCTGGGCATGTATCATAGTGTACATTCTAGAGTTATCCACGCCCCCTCTTCCCTCCATTGTAAGAATGACTGCGCAAGACATCTGAAGTTTCAGGAATCAGGAGCATTTTTGTAAATCAGAAGAATGAAAAAGCCCTTACCTGTTATCTTCCTCTTCATCCACGGACACACGAACAGCCACACAAAAAGGGCGAACAGGAGAGCAACACCAAAGGAAATGAGTGCTACTGCCCACAGGGGAAGAACCAGGCCGAGCACTGGGAATAAAAATGAACAGCAGTGTTTTTACTGGCGACTTTCTGAAAGGTCAAGCCTCATGTCAACATGTTTTCCGTTCCCCAAATCCAAAACTAACCACCTCGGTTTTGTATTTAATAAAACCTTCCTCCAAAAAAAAAAAAAAAAAGTGCTGTACTTTTTGGGGTAATCTTTAAGATACACTAAACATTGTGGATATGTGGTTAGATCGGTTAGTAAGATAATTAAACATTTCCCATTTGGCACAAACAGCATATTAACTTGGTAATAAAACCATTTGCATATTATCTCGATATCTACATTCATGAGTGGACATATGTGGTTAAGAGATGAGTCCACTCTCTTCTGTCCTAAGAGCCAGCCCACTGCCATGGGTAGTGAGAGGCTGAGGTCTGGCAAGCTGCACACAACTGCTGCCTCTTCAGGCTTCTCAGCCGTCAGCAGCGCTGCGTAAATGGACAAGGCATTCTGACCACATACTCAAATCTTTTTTAAAATCAGCTTAGGAATACAAGTTTTTTTAAAGGACTTTGACCTTCTATCTAGAATAGGCAAATTAATAGAGGCAGCAAGTAGAATGCAGGTTACAGGGGCTGAGGGGAGGGAGTAATGGAGAATTATTGCTTCATGGATGCACAGTTTCTGTTTGGGCAACAGAAGGAAAGAGGTCGAGGGTAATAAAGGTAATAGGTAGGTAAATAAAGGCTGGCTGCATGGCAATTGATCCAATTTATGTTTAAAAAAGATCTAGAAATTGATAGTAGTGATGGTTACACAACATCCTGAATGTACTTAACACCACTGTACTGTACACCTAAAAATGGTTAAAATGATTTTTAAAAAAAGGCATTGGCCTTTAAACTTAATGGAATTATAACACAGAAAAACTTTTTATTTAAATCCACTAACACACACTAAGTTGCAATTACATTAGCCAACAAACAGGTGGAAGTGTGCATCGTGGTTTAAGAGCACCATATTTTCAGGGCTCTGCAATGACTCCCAAGCTCATCACTCTGAATTCTGTACATCTTCTGTCACTTGTGGCAAGAGGCGCATTTCACACACGTCCGCAGGTGTGCAATTTAAACACCCACGCTCCCACATGAGCACAAAGATATTGTTCAAGGATAATGATCCAAACATCATTTGTAACAGTAAAAATTAGCAAAACAACTAATATATACAATGCATATGAAAATATGAAATAATTTTAGTGCAGTTATAAAAATGAGGTAGATCTATATGTCCTGAAGGAAAGAGGCTCAAGATTATAAAGGAAAACCAAAACAAACCAAACCCAATGCTGCTGAGTTGATTCTGACTCACAGGGACCCTACAGGACAGAGTAGAACCGCCCCATAGGGTTTCCAAGGAGCGGCTGGTGGATTCAAAGTAGATAATAAAGGCTAGCTGTATAACAGTATCTATAACTTGATCCAACTTCTGTTTAAAAAGAAAACTCGATTTCTACACCCCTGTCATATGCATGAAAGTCTAGAAAAATATTCTGGCGAGATACTCAACTGCTAACATGGTTATTTCTGTGGAGAGATGGGAAACTAGAGTGACGTTTTCGCTTCTTACTACATATACTTCTGTACTTTTAACTTTTAAAATATACAATAGGCATGTCACTTTTATAAATTGCTAAGCAGTTTAAAAAAATGTAAAGGAGTAAACTATTTAAAACTTCGCTCTTAGATTGAACACATCTTTAATGATGCAGGCTTTGTTGCATTGCTAATCATCTTATACATATAAATCAGCTCGAAGGTATTCAATTAAGGTATGTATTAAACAGTGATAATTGTAGATTACAGACTAGATGGCTAATAATGACGAAACAGGATTAACATATATATATATTTTTAAACCGACAATAACAACAACAAACCCAGAAGCACCTAACTTAATTATAGCTAAGCTGTCACTGATGGGATTATACGCACTTACGATGCAGAACTGTTCCACTCCCAAATTCCTGGTTACATCAGAAAGCTGTAGACGCAGCCCGTCCCGTGGGCTGTATTCACTAAGCTGTTTCCAGCCAAACTGAGTGGTAACTATCAATTACCAACATTAAATTGATCAACTAGCATCAAAACCAATCATTGCCGGGAGCTTCAAAGCATTTGGTTTTTGAAGAGGCTGTCCCTGTTTCCTTTGTGGTTCCGGGTCTGGTCTGGTTGATGATAAAACTATTAACGACGCTACTTTTGACTTTATTGGGTTCACCTGAGCTCAGCGGGGCAAGCCCTAGATACTGTGGGGGAGACAGAAACAATTTGGGATATGATTTTTTAAAAAAGGAGTGAACACTTTTGCTATCTGGCCCTATTTGTTTCCATCCACACTGAGCAAGGCCCAAAGCAAGCCTCTCTCTCTGCTGGCCACTAGGGTCGCGTTGGGTCCTAGAGGGTGTCAGGACCAACATCTGAAAGGGAGAAACTGAGGTCGGCTATAAGGCTTTTCATCCTTTGCTTAGACAATAAGCCACAATGTCACCGGCCCTTTGTTCTTTTCCCTACACCTGTCTTTGCCATTGGCTTGGCCTGAGAAGTGGCCAGGAACTCTGAAATTACCCTCCCAGTCACAAGAAAGTGGACAAGAAAGCAAGGGACAAACACATTACTGAGGGTGGGAGGGGTGGGGAGGCAGAGGAAGAAATCACGGGGAAGGAAAAAGAGCAAGGGAGTCCAGGAAAGTAGGGGAAAAGCTGCTGAGAAGGAGTAAGGAGAGAAGAACAGAATGGGAACAGGGGCCTTAATGAATTATTTCATCAATTTAATAATTTAAAAGAGCATTAAAAGAACATGAAGCTTTATTTTCCAAGCCTGAATATAAGAAATGCAAACGGACAGTTGTTTATGTTATGCAGTTCCAAATTGTACTAAATACATAAAATCAAATTTCATGGATGAAAACTAATTAAATACAAAAATTCTGCATAGAAAAGTATTTGAATCAATGTACGTCCAAGGCAAACTTTTTTTTTTCTGAAAATTTAAGGCTGACTTAAGTAAAACAAAATTTTTAACAAAAATACTTTGCATTAAACTGCCTTCCTGCTAAGAATCTCAAACTGTTTCCAAATAATGACACCTTAAGAGGGTAATCAGACATGGAATATCATTGCACTCTGCAGATGGACAAAGTAGGGCACAGCTTGAATTACTAGAGTTCACCCAGCCAAGAGCGGCTGCCAGGAACCATCACTGGGAGCTCTGGATCCCAGTCCCCAGCTCCAGCCCCTCCACGGCCTTTCATCTCAAGCTCCTTTCATTTTCTGAGCAACAAAGATATGATGAATAGTGATTTAGCTCTAACCTCAAACATCTTTACAATGCTATTCCAAATCCCTAAAAGATCAGAAGAATATTCAAGTGATTTGGGGAAGAAACAGAACTTTTTCTAAAAACTCAGTCTACCACTTTGTTATACCTTGTTATTTTCACATGTAACAATCATTATTACAATCCATATAGTAAATAAAAACAAAAACCCATTGCCGTCGAGTCAATTCCGACTCATAGCGCACCTATAGGACAGACTAGAACTGTCCCATAAGGTTTCCAAGGAACAGCTGGAGGATTTGAACTGCTGACCTTTTGGTTAGCAGCCTGTGCTCTTAACCACTGCGCCACCAGGGCCCCCTAAAGTAAATAAGACCTGTTGATTCACTACACAGATCTGTCATTTTTTAAGCTTTAATTTTATAAATAAATATCAGTAATACAAAATCGTCTGATGTAAAAATATGACATTTCCCCATCACCCTTCCCTCCTGAACTTCCTTTCCAGAGAAACACTGATTCTGTCTGGTGGGTATCTTTCTTGTCGTCTTCTAGATACACACAAGCACACAGTGTGGAGTGTGTGTGAGGGCCCCTCTCCCTTCTTACAAATTTAACAGAAGTAGAATCATACCAGGAGCCTGGTGGTTAAACAGTTAAGGACTTGGCTGCAAACTGAAAGGTCGGCGGTTCAAACTCACCTGAGGGAGAAAGGCCTGGCGATCTGCTCCTGTAAAGATTACAGCCTAGGAAACCCTATGCGGCAGTTCTACTCAGTCACATGGGGTCACTATGAGTCGGAATTGACTCGACAACACCCAACAACAGAATCATACTACGTGTACTGTTCTGTGCTTTCATTTTTCACCTAACAAAATACCGTGGACATCTTTCCATGGGCATACATATATGTAGGTTCACCTTATTTGCAAGATCACTCTTTACTAGCCCCGCTTCACCTGATAAACTGGTTACTAGTTTTTTCTTTTGTCTTGTTTTAGATCAGCATGTCCAAAGCATTAGAGGAGCTCACTCTGTAAAAAGAATCCTGAAGCAACTTCATTAAGAAAATGAAGCAATCTTAATAAAACAGATATTTCCTGATTTGCCCTATAATTTAGATTTTCCCTTGCACATGGTACCAGCTTTCTCAAACTAGAGCTCTTTTATAACAATTTTAAGAGGAAGTGAATTTAAATCACTCTATCTTGACTCCAACCCCTGGTGATAACTGGAGACTCTCCTTACCCAGGGCTTTTCCAAAGCAGGCCCAGGAATCACTGCAGTTACAATGTCTGGCTTCTCCACAGCTTGGCACTGTACCATTATAACATGGAATACAGAGACCCTCTCTGAACAATGCTCCCCTCACAAAGCCAGCTAGGGGCTGAGGGTGGTGTGATGCTCTGATTTCCCTGGGACTGGACCAGAGGCAGCAGCTACTGAAGAGGAAGCAGGAGGAAGAGGAGGGGGGAAGGGAAGGAGAAGGGGGAGGTGGAGAAGGAGGAGGGGGGAAGGGAAGAAGGAGGAGGAGGAGAAGGAGGTGGAGGAGGAGGAGGAGAAGAAAAGAGAAAGAAAAGAAATCTGTAATGATTAGATTTCATCTACTGAGACTTGAACTTAATGACTT